AGTCTGATAAACTAATCTCTATTAAAATTTTTAATAAAAGTCTTAACCTGTGACTAATTTCCTCCCAACTCTTCACAGGTCACATGTACATTTTATTTGTGGTCCTCTTGGGTAGGAAAAACTGCTCTTTTTATGTATTCCCATGTCCACATTAAACTCACCTGTTCATGATAGATATTCTGAAAAAATGTATGATTCTTAGAAAAAGAATCATCAAACATTTATTAAGTGCCTACTATGTGCTAAGCACTTGGGAATGCAAAAAGAGGCAAAAGACAGTCTCTGTCCTCAAGAAGCTCACAGTCTAATGAGGGACACAACAGACAAATAAATATATACAAACCAGCTATATACAGGATAAATAGGAAATAGTTAACAGAGGGAAGACACCAGAATTAATAGAGGGTGGCAAAAGTCTTCATGTAGAAGTTGAGATTTTGGTTGGGACTTAAAAGAAGCCAGTAGGCAGATATGAAGACAGAAGTCATTCCATGTATGGAGGACAGCCAGAGAAAGAGAGTTGTTGGTAGAATAGCAAAGAGGTCAGTGTCACTGGATTGAAGAGTACTTGTCAGAGAGTAAAGTGTAAAAAGATTGGAGAGGTAGAAGGGGCCTAGGTTATATAGGGCTTTGAATGCTCAGTAGTTTGCATTATGTGATCATGTAATGCTTTGGAAATAGATTTATTCGTCCAATTATGTTTTACTTAGGCCATATTAAAATTAGCTAACATTTCCTGAACGCAGATCACAGTCATAGAATTTTAATCTTTGAAATAATTTTAGCAATCTGGTCTTCCCTTATACACACATAGTATCTGTCTGTCTGTCTCTCTTTCTCACACACACACACACACACACACACACACACACACAATTTATCACTCCCTAATAAGTGAGGAAACTAAGGCTCAAAGCGTTTAAATTACTTAATTGAAGTCATTCAGGTAGTTCATTATAGTCATGACTTACACTTTAGTTCTCTTGACCACTAGGAACTTAGAAGGATAATAGTTAGTTGGAAAAAGTTAACTTGGCCTTTAAAGTTTCTTCTGGGTAAGCTATACATGGATAACAGAGTGTTCATTGCATATAAACCTATTCTATTTTCTGTAATTTCAGTTGGTGTGATTATTCAATCCACTGAGGCAGATCACCACCCCTATTACTTAGTAGATGATTTTCCAGAGTTGCTGTAACCAAAAATTCATCACCTTTGGGCCGTCCATGTGTTAAAGCTCTCCAAATTTAGCTAGGCTAATCTTTGAATAGTAGATATACTAGGTTTTTAGTTTAATACTTTCCATTTTGGTAGGACCTGCCAGTGCTTGGCACCCTATCTGCATGCCCTTAGGGAACCAAAGGTCACCTCCACATCACGATGAGGTCTTCTAAAGGAGCAGTACCTTAGTGAAGGAAATTTACTCTTAGTGTAAAGAAATCTTACCTTTGTTAGAAACTTCCACTGAAAAGTATCATCTTCAGACATACTGTTTAAAACTGAATTTTCTCAAATCATTGACCGTCTGTCTAATTCAGCACTTCTAAGGTGACATGATTAGGCTCCAAGTCATTCACTCATTCAACAAACATTTATATCTACTATATGGAAAGCATTATATTAGGTGCTACAGGCAGGTGAGGGGGTGATGCAATGACAAATAAAACTTGGTCTCTGCTGTTGGGCAGCCTATATTGTAGTTGGTGAGAGAAAACAATTATGAAGTAGAAGTTGGTAAATGACATAAGAGAGATACAGGCTGCTTTTGAGAGTTCAGAGGAGGAAGGCAATCTGTAGTCAATTTAAAACTGTACTGGCTTCCTCATTGTTCTTACGTTCCATAAAAGATCGTCTTACTTCCATTTGTCCACTACTTCCTCGGTAATGAACAGGATTTCTTCTGATTTCTTGTCAAGGTTTCTATCAGTCAGTTACGCCTAAAGGAGATACCACCTTAGAACAGGCCCTTCTTGCTGAGATTATTGCAGCGGTCTCCTGATTTATCTCCCTTGTCTTCATTACCTTCCTTCTATCTCTTACATTGTTTTAGTTCTTGATGTCCAGGTCTTATAACACACTTCTCAAAACCTTTCTGTCTTTCAAATCTGTTGTAGGTGGCATGGTATACTAGGAAAAGGACATTTGAATAGAGAAGTAACATGACTAAATCTTTGTGTAGAAGATTAGAGAGGAGAGTAAGTAGGATTGGAAAGCTGCAAGAGATATGGAGGCAGAATCAGTAGCAGAGTATAGTAGAAAGAGCTATGGATTTGGAGTTAAAAGACCTGGGCTTGAATCCTGGCTTCCTATTTACTATCTGTTAACCTTGAATAAGTCACTTAACCATTGATCTACCTCTCTATTTTTCAATCAGTAAGAGATGTTATTACTGCTGCTTTATAATATAGTTTTAGGTTTGGAAATGCTTTTCTCCCTTCAGCTCTACCTCTTCATAATTTCCCTTGGTATTCTAGCTTTCATTTTTCCAAATGAATTTTGTTATGATTTTATCAAGTTCTATAAAGAATTCCTTTGTTAATTTGATTGGCATAGCATTAAAACTTTGGTAGAATTGTCATTTTTTTTTAATACTGGCACAGTCCAATCATGAGCAATGAATATTCCTGCTGCTATTTAAGTTGCTGTTTATTTCTTTAACAAACACTTTGTAATTGAATGTTTACAAGTTGTTTTTTGTGCTTCTGGTAGATTGATCCCCAGGTACTTTATGCACTTTGTAATTCTGAAGTCTTTCTTTGAGTATTTGTGGTTATTGTGAAGATTGTTCTTTTGGCTCTGCCTACCTCACTCTTCATCAGTTCATATAAGTCTTCCAAAGTTTTTCTGAATTCTTTGTTTTTATTATTATAGCACAATAATACTCTATTATATTCACACATTCAGAATTTATTTAGACATTCTTTAATGGTTGGGTATTAATTTTTCTTGAATTTTTTTGTTATCAAAAACTGCTTTTTTACATATGGGTCTTTTTCCTGTTTTTTTTTTTTTTACTTTATGTATATACATAATTTTAGGATTACTTGGTTAAATAGTTATATAATGGCTTTAACATTTCTTATTGGGTTAAGGGAGCACAGCACAGTTAAAATGGAAAATCTAGACTCAGACTGCCCTAGTTTTTCTCAAGGAAAACAAGAATACAGAATGACAAAGATACTTCTTTTGGCAGAGGCATTTACATGGAATATAGTATTATAATTGGGAAAAAATGCAGCTAGGTGCCTCGTGTTACAGAGTGTTGAGCTCAGATTCCATCCTGAGACACTTAATTACTTGGACAAATCACTTAACCTCTATTTGCCTCAGTTTCCGCATCTCTAAAATGGGAGTAATAGTACCTACCTTCCAAGGGTTGTTGTGAGAATAAAATGTGATATTTGTAAAGCACTTTGCAAACCTTATTAAATGAATGCATGAACTTTTAAGATTAATATTGCCACATTGTATAGGACAGATTGAAAAAAAGGGAACAAACAGATTTGGGGAGAATTGACAGAAATTGGCAGCTAAAAAAAATTCACAGCTAATGGCTTCGGGGAGTGAGTGAGGGGAAAGTTTGTAAAATAACTCTAGTAACTACAAGATTGATGATGCCAATAACATTAATAGAGAAGTTGGAAGGAAGGAGGAACAGGTTTGAGGGGGTGGTATTGGTATAAGATGACTTTGGCAAGTTACTATTTTAAAGTATTTTTCCTCCATTTTTCTAGTTTGTAACATTTTTTGATCATCATTGTGCAGTGAGCAGAAGTTGGTCCCTAACTGTTCTGTAACATTGCCTCTTCATCACTCTTGAGGAATATGTTTAATTTAGAATTCATTCCGTGCAGTAAAATGGGCTCTTCATGTAATGGGAACTATTCTATGAAAATTACTTTAGGTGACACAAAGTGTTGAAGGATAGCTAACAATGGAGTTAGGATCCTAAAGAATCTTAATAGACTGGAACATTGTGCTAAATCTAATAAGATGAAACTCAGTAGGTTTAAGTGTAGGAGTCTTGAATTTGAATGTAGCAGTTGTTCTAAATAAGATTTTGGAGTTTTAGTGGCCTTCAGGCCACTAAATACAAGTCAGCATGTGATGCAGTAGCAGCCAAAAAAAGCTAACGTGGTCTTGGGCAGCATTATGAGGGCATAACTTCTAGGCACAGGAAAGTTATAGTCTCACTGTACTTTGCCTTGGTCAGACTTTATCCAGAATATTATGTTCAGTTCTGGGCACCACAGTTTAAGAAAACATTGATAAGCTGAAGAGGTTTCAGAAGAGGGCACAAGATGGTGAGGGTCCTTGAGTTAATGACATACAAAAAATAGGTTGAAGGAACTGGGCATATTTAGCCTAGAGAAAAGAAGACTCAGGGGGACATGGTAGCTGTTTTTCAGGTATTTGAAGAGCTGTCAAGGACTAAACTTGTTCTGTTTGACCCTAGAGGGACTAATATGGAGCTTTGGGTAGAAGGTGGAGAGGTAAATTTAGGTTTTATATCAAGAGAAAACTTACTAGCAGCTAGAGCTATTCAGAAGTGGAGTGTACGGGGCAGCTAGGTGGCACAGTAGATAGATAGCACTCCAGCCTTGGAATCAGGGGGACCTGAGTTCAAGTCCAGCCTCAGACGCATGACACTGTGTGACTCTGGGCAAGTCACTTAACCCTGATCGCCTCACTAAAAAGCAAAAAAAAAAATGTGGAATGTACTAGCTAGAGAAGTGCTGGGTTTTGCTTTTTGGCAATCTTCAAGTAGACAATCACTTGCTAGGTATATTAGAGGGGGGATTCCTTCTACATATGTATTGTGCTAGAGGGCGGGAGAGCCCATCTAAATTCTCTTTCGGTGATTTGGTGAAATGAATAGAGAATACCTGAACAATATGAGAAAATCTATCACTAAAAATCTGAATGTTCTGACTTTATCTTGTCAGATTTTTAAAAAATGTTCTTTTGAAAATTTATTACATTTTTCTTATTTATTTCAGAGAAGCTTGATTCCATGCTATCAGACTATGATATCCTTTCTCTGTCAAACATCCAGCAACATTCCTTGAGGAAAAGGGATCTACAGACAGCATCACATTTAGAAAGATTATTGACTTTTTCAGCCTTACATAGGTAATTAGAATTATTCATATTGAAGTAATTAATTTTGTCCTTGTGCTTTATTTGCTTTGGTTAAGATAAAAAATAGTTATATTGAAATCTTTTAAAGTTTTTTTTTAAGGAAATGGTAAAATGCCCTATGTGACTTGTCCATGGTAGATCATTCATTCTAATAAGTTTACTTATTTGAATTCAGTCTTAGGTGCAGAGGAAGCTAGAAAATTCCTAATGTTAGTACTGTGATACTGTATACTTTCCATTTCAGCCTTTATGAATTTTAGGTAAAATTAGACTCCTTCAGAGTATCAGCTGATTAACCATATTTCATTTGAAGAGTTGTTTGTTAACACTGTTCCCTTGTTTTATCTTACAAATGCTGGAGATTTCCTGAAGTTGTAGCCTTTATAAGAAACCAAACATCGTGGCACACAAATAATGGAATTGCCTTTCTTATTTTTCGATGTTCTGATAACTCTGTCAGGTGTATGCACTTCTGATATATTTTCAAATTATTCCCAAAGACTTGTGAGGAACATTAAAGGGCAAGAATTTGGATGTACTTATTCAGAGAAGCACAGTGTTCCATGAAATTCTTTCCCATGTACAACTTTGTGAAGACTGAATAACAGTTTACTAATGTTTCATTTCCCTGGCCACCTCTGCTATTAGGGATATGCAAGAAAATGAGAACTTTAGGAAAACAAGTCACAAAGACCATGTACTCTTCTCGTAGAAGAAGTCCTTCTCAGGATCTGTTTGCATCTGTTTGAGACTACCTTCATTGTATGTCTCCAGTAAATATTTTTTCATGACTACTACATGACATTGTACAAGGCTGAGAAGTTTGGCTATCTGACTTATTGCCTCAAAGCAGGTCAGAAGCAGCACGTTAAAGAGGTGGAAGGTGTGTGTGCGTGTGTGCATACATACTCCAGCAGATCGCACTGACAGCAAGAAGTGATAGCTGCCAGTCTAACTTGGAGGAGATAGAGAAGGTATGAAAAAATGATGCAAGAACTTTCAAGTGCATCATTCTAGGTCTGTTTAACTTATGGGTCTGATAACTTTACATAACTGAATAGCCCCAGAGGGAATAAAAACTGTATAATATAGTATAATAATAGATATTAGTCAAGGCTTTGTGGTGTATTGAAATGGAGTCTTGGACTTGAGATCAAGACATGGTTTCAGATTTCTTGAACTTATCTCTGTGATCCTCTGTGTGCCATTTATCTAAGTCAGATACAGGTTGTGATCTGTTCCCACATCAGAGTTCGATATTCTGATGAAATCACAGATCCTTTGCATAATTGATGTTCATGATAATAAGCCTGAATCATTGAAAAAATGCTGTAATGATTTTTTTCTGTTAAGAAAGCGTAACAATGTATGGTCTATTTTACATGTTTTTCATCCAAAATGCTTACAATAAAAAAGTTTTGGCACATGAAGCATTACATTTTATTTTGTTTTGTTTTGTATTTTGCTAGGCAGTGGGGCTAAGTGACTTGCCCAAGGTCACACAGCTAGTAAGTGTCAACTGTCTGGGTCCGGATTTGAACTCAGGTCCTCCTGACTTCAGGGCTGGTGCTCTATCTGCTGTGCCACCTAGCTGCCGCAAGCATTACACTTTAGTTATGTGAATAATTCTCTTAATGTGAAACTTTTGAGTCTGCTATTGGTGCTAGATAAGTAAGGCACTAGAGGTAAATTAATCTAGACCAAGAGAGAAGAACATAAATGTAGATCTATGGGAAAAGTACTTTTTTTCCTTTTTAATGATAATGTTTGGGGCAGCTAGGTGGCACAGTAGATAGAGCACCGGCCTGGATTCAGGAGGAACTGAGTTCAAATCTGGCCTCAGACACATAACACTTCCTAGCTGTGTGACCCTGGGCAAGTCACTTAACTTTATTGCGTAACACCCCCCCCCAAAAAGATGTTTTTCTTATACTTACCCAAGAATTTATGATCGTAAGTATGACAATAAATTTTTGTTGAATGGGAAGAAATATACTTAATATAAAACACCAAGAGCATCACACATTGTAAAAAAAATAACTGCAACAAAACCCTAAAATTTTAATTTTTTTTCAACTTAATTGATAAGTTAGGTTACTTTTCTCTTACATTTTTAAAGCTCGTGGTTACTTTGTTTCTAAAATAGTAACACTCAAACGCTACGTTACTCAACTTTATTTTTCTATTACTTGGATTTTTGGGATCAAATTCAGTAATATGTATAAAATGTTTTGAAAAATTGTAAATCTGTACTGTAAATGTCAGTTATTAGTATCGTGTATAGACTAAAAAAACTAATTTTGAGATAGCTGAATGATTATTGACCCTCTCCCCCCAAAAAATCTTGAAATAAACTGTATTAAATATTTGAAAGGAGACAGAAAAAGGTCAGGAAATAGAACTAAGAAAAACCAAGACAGGGAAAAAAGTCATTAAAAGTAGATAAGAAAATAAGGCTAAGCCAGAAGGCTTCTGAGCTATTAAAGTTCATTAAAGCTTCACATTAGGAAAAAGCAAGAGAATAGTGGAGCAATTGTATATAGAAGGACTAACACACTTTAGAAAATATTTTAAATATAATTAGTATAAATGATTATCCCTTAATGATACATGATCCAGCCAGAAGGTATGACTTAGGCTAAGTTTGGAAACTCAAGAAAGCATGACTTCTAATTGTCCTTGTACCTTTGAGAGAAGATTTTTAGCTACCAAAAGCACAGATCTTCATCTAGAATATGAAGACTGCTTTACCATTGTTCAAGGAATAGTGAATTAAAATGACATTAAAATGCTTATAAGGTTCTGTGAAAATGTTAAGTAACGTCTTTCGAATAAGAATACATTTTAACTTTCTTTTTCATTGTACCCTTCAGTTGAAGAAAAAAAGCATAATTATGAATGTATAAGAAGATCCGCTTAGAAGAGCAGGAAGAAAAATGTTCATAGATTTTATAAAATAATATTTTGTTGTCTTTCTTTCCCTCTGACTGCAAAAGCATTTCCAAAAGAAAAAATAACTTGTTATACTTCAAAAATTAAAAATACTTATTGCCATGGTGACATTCCCAGTCCATTATTTTCCTGGCAGTTGAAGACTTATGTAAGTTAATATGGAAGCAGTATCTATTATTACTATCACAGTCAGCAAAACTTTTTCCTCCTACTCGCTGAGACAGGAAGCGAAGGAACTTTAATTCATTGTTTCTAGTTTTTATTCTCCTTTTAATGGTGCTCTGCAAATGATAACCTTTGAAAATTTGACAACTATACCCTCATGTACTCACCCCCTCCTGAGAGGACTGGCATTATTAGGGGACAGTTGGAAAGTCTACTATAGCATAGACATGACTTTTAATATTTACACTGATTATCTTGCATATGTTTATTTACTCAGTGATAGATCTGGACTGCTATGTTTCAAGATGAAATATATAGCCTAAGTTCTAGAAGGAGAGAGAAGTATAGCAGTGCTAAGAAGCATAAGAGGGTATAGTTAGTTGGTATGTGTATTTAATGTTTGTGACAATCTGATAACTTATTAGACTTGAACCTAAACTATCCCAAGACCTTTGGTGTTACTTACTTTTTAGATAATCCAGGGAAGATGAGTATATAAGACCTTTTGGTGAATTTTTCCAATGTCAATAACTTATAGCCTACACATGCTTGATTTCCAAGCCAGTGACTCTTCTGTAATTTTTGCCCACTTCCCCTTATTAGATGAGTATTATACTTCATGCTTAGTGAATTTGGCAAGCTGTGTAGCTTACTTACTGAGGAAAACGCATAGATTTATATTCTGTTGTTTGCTTAGAATTAAACAAACCCATTATTTTTCAGGCATTTTAAGGTATATCTAACATCAAGTGCTGAACGCTTTTCACAAAATTTCAAAGTGTTGGTCGTGGATGGGAAAGAAGAGCAAGAATATCCTGTAAAATGGCAAGATTTTTTCACGGGGCATGTAGTGGGTGAGTGTGAACAAAGCTGCTGTACATGCCGTGAACTTTTTCCCAAGAAGACTAAATTGAGAGTTATTTTATGTAAAAACTCCTTTTTCAAGGGAAGAAATGGAATTTCTTTAAATAGAAATTATTTTTGTTTTCAAAAAATTTTTTTGGCATAGAAAGATATTTTTTTTTCAGCATTCATTTCTACGAGATTTTGAGTTCCAAATTTTCTCCACATCTCATTCCTTCCCCCACTCCAAGATGGCATGTATTCTGAGTACCCCTTCCCCTAATCTGCCTTCTCTTCTATCTTCTCCTCCCCCCCTTTTCTTATCCCCTTCCCCTTCAATTTTCCTGTAGGGCAGGATAGATCATAGAAATTATTTTTTCAAATTGACACATTTAACAGATCAGTAGAACATGTGGTGGAGAAAAATGAATATAGGGTTATCTTTTTCGCCCTACGAGAATCTTCATTAAATTGAATTTCTTCTTTTTAAGTAAAGATGATTCTACTTCTATACATTTATTTACGTGCATTTTAAGCTTGCTTTGTGAAATTATAGACAAGGTAGGATACATGACCATTTCACTTGTGACTTTAGTTCAGATTTTCTATTGGAAACATACCTGCAATGGGAAAAAGCAAATGTGATGAAATCTCCAGATCATACATAGTTCATTAGCATAGATGTAGTATTGGTGAAACCACATTTCTCTTTCTTGCCTCCTAAAAAAGCAGGTAAATATTTGGACTTATTCTTTCTCAGAGATGATTCTCTCACTTGGCTTGAGAGAATGGGGTAGGGTTTAAGTGATTGGATTTCATGCTATTGATTGGGTGGTGGGAATCAACCTGGCTCTTTCTGAGGCATCTCTTTGCTGCAGATTTTTCACATACTTTCCAGGCAAATCCCAACAAAGTAGTAGTTGTCAGTTGGGCCTTTTGACGCTAATTTTTTTTTTTACTGAAATTTGATGGAATAAAGTTCGGTTTGGAATGTTTTCTGATAATAATTTTATTAATCTTGTTCTTTTTCTTGGCTTTAAGGTGAACACAATTCCAGGGTTCTGGCCCATATAGGTGATGATGACTTTACAGTGAGAATCAATACAGATGGGGCAGAATATAACATAGAGGTAAGTTTTTTAGTCTTATTTTCGATATCAGATAGTTATGGCCTTTTAAGAATGGTGCTGTCCATCTAATTGTTTAGTAATATAGAAGCAAATGTCATTTTTACCTATGCAATTTTTTTCTTTGTAATTAACCAAAGTTAACATTAATTTTTTTTTCAGAGAGATAGGAAACAGAATAACTTGGAGGGTATCTTAATTTTGTTTTTTAGACATGAAATAATGTGACTAAAATGTATCCTATTTTTTCCTCGATACTTTGAGATGTCACATGTGGCAAGAGAAAAGGAGTCTTCCTCTTTTCTTTCTCTTTTCTGTCTCATTCCCTGTTCCCCTTTGTAATAATCCAGATATCCTCATTGAAAGGGCATGTCATTTTTTTGGAGGTCAAAAAAGAATTAATTCCCTTCTGACCTTCAAAGTCATCCTTCCATTGTGAATATGAGCAATAATTGGTGACCAAGAGCAGCTGAAGTAAAAACTATAAGAACCTCATCATTTTGATAGCTTCTCTGATGCTGTAGTATGGCTAGTGAAAGCCAAGACAGAACTGCTTAATTGCATTTAAGACACATAAGATATAGATAGCTCATTTATTAGCCAAGAACACCAAATATTTCTTTGCTCTCATTTGCATATTGATGTGCTACTCTAGAAATGCTAAAGTACCCTGTATGAGTGGTGATATCATCTCCAAAAATCATGCAGTGAGAAAACTGAAATTAAGGCCAATCAAAATAAAAATCAACATATACTCAGCAGTGCCTCTTGTAGACAAGTCACTGTGGAGTTCATTGATCTCTAAGCCACCGACATTTCATTCTTGTGCCTACTGTACTTGGAAACAATTTACTTTCTACCCTTGTAGTTCACTGTCTCCGGTTTTGTTATCATTCTAGTGTTTTTTAAAAGGTGTTAGAACTGAAATGTAAAGCTACCCTGAAGTTAATTTTGAATATTTGTATTCTAGAGGATTAATTTCCGAACAACGTTTTATCCTTTTTAAAGTCTAACTTTGAATTAGGAAAGAACATATAAATCATGCTTGTTTATATAAAAATTATATTTTATATTTTTATGTGGTGTTGCTTAATAAATAATGATCTCTATAGCTAAAGGAAATGAATTATTGATGCCTAATCTGAATTTTATGACAATAAGATTCATGTTGAAGAAACTTTTTCCTTTTTTTCAAGTTGTTATTTTTAGACTAGCCATTAAGGCTGTTTTCCATAAGTGGCTATGGTCAACATTCCCTTTGTGGTAGCTGGTACATCTTTTGACATGCTTACTTTATAAAGAAAATCTAAATTGTGTATTGAGTCACTTATGAGTGATATAGACTTTTAAAACTCCCTAGTATAAAATCATGTTTTTTCTTCTGTAAATGGTAGTTTCTACATTTCATCATATTATTTTCTCTAATAATGATTTTGATATCAGTCAAGTATTAGCTGTAAAAAAACAACCCCATGACTGTATGAATAAGCATACTCTTAGGTTCAAATTCAGTAAGATCTGTATATCTAATATATAAATATGATTCATCATTAGCCATTTAAAATTTTGGCTACTTTTACCTTTTAAATATATATACACATACATTTTGTGTGTATATATAGAAGAAGAAATGTGTTTTTTAATGTAACAGAAACCTAGCCTTATTAATAAGTTATTGATAAGAGTCCAGAAATGTTTGATCCTGAAAAGAAGGGAAAGCACACACCAGGAATTTGGTAATTCAAAATCTGGTCCTTGCTTTGCCTCCAGAGACCTGCTGGCCTTAAGGTCATTTTACCTGTTTGGGCCTTAGATATTTCATTTTTAAAATTAGTTTTATCAGCACAGAAATCTCCCTCAAATAAAATTAAGTATCTTAGATAGATTTCCATCATAAAATGATTCATCAAAATATTTAATCTAAAAAGTCAGATCTGGGTACATGAGAAAAGAAATATCTCAAAATGTGGGCATTTTTGTGTTTGATGAAGATTCTAGTCTATGTAATAGTTTGTATTTATATTGTGTCTCAGATATTCACATTTTGTATTATTTTAGCCACTCTGGAGATTTATTAATGATACCCAGGACAAGAGAATGTTGGTTTATAAATCTGAAGATATCAAGAATGTTTCACGTTTCCAATCTCCAAAAGTATGTGGTTATTTGAAGATTGAAAAGGAAGAACTGCTCCCTAAAGGACTGGAAGACACGGAACAACATACAGGTGGGAATTAAAGCATATTTCACATAAGGACTAAAATCTAGTCTAGTGCTAGACTAGTGTTTAGCATCCAGTGTTAGAAATTGAATAATAGCTAATAATACAATATGATTGCCAGGTAACTTAGGCCTGCTGGTTAGAAAACAGAATTCAGACACAGGTATTATTGGACTAACACAGTCTCTTTTATGCATAATGTTGAAAGCACTAGTGAAGGCAAAAGGACACTATAAATTACAGTCTTAGTGTTGGAAGGGTCTCTTATAGACCATCTAGACTAACTTCTTGGTCAAGTCACTTACCCAGCTCATAGTAGTACTAGAACTAGAAGCCATATCTGTTGACTCTCTAGTTCAGTGTTCTTTCCTATATACCATTTAGTTTAATTCAGTAAGCGTTTATTAAGCACATACTGTATGCCAGGCATTCTGGTGCTAACATGTTGCATCTGTTTGGCAAGTAAAATTCATTATTGAAAAAAATCAAATTGATATATCTGAAAAAATAATAATCTGATTTTGAGAATTTAATAAAAACAAAATATCATGGTTTATAAGAAGTTAATGACTACAATTAGTTGTAGAAGCATTAAAAAGTCCAAACGATAGACTTTAAGGTTGCAAAAAGAGCGTAGATCATCTAGTCTAATCCTTTATTCCATCCTATAATCACCTATAGTAGATTGCTAATGGATCTAACCTCTGGCTAAAGCAGTTTAGTTTTGGGAAAGACATTGTTTCTTGAAGTAGACCATTTTATTTCTTAACAAATCTAATTATTTGGAAGTTATTCTATTCTGCCCAAATCTCTTGTGTTTCTAACTTTCACTCAGTAATCCTAATTCAGCCTCTGGAACGAAGTCTAATCCCTCTTGCTCATTTTCAATCAATTAGGCATTTATTAAATGCATGTTTTGTGCAAAGCACTATGACAACCTTTCACGTATTTAAAACAAACTGCTATGCTCCTCCTAATTTTTCTTTTCCTCTGTTAAAACAGTCCTGGTTCCTTTAATTCATCCTTGTGAAATATAGTTGCAAATAGCCTACAGAAATGCTTTGTTTGTTGATGTTGCTCTTAAGATATGGCAAACAAGGGGCAGCTGGATGGCGCAGTGGATAGAGCACTGGCTCTGAAGTCAGGAGGACCTGAGTTCAAATTCGACCTCAGACCAATCACTTGACACTTACTAGCTGTGTGACCCTGGGCAAGTCACTTAACCCTAGTTGCCTTTAAAAAAAAAAAAGATGGCAGCAGAGCAAAACATAATGGTCTTAACAACACATAGTGCAGTGACCCTATTACCTCTCTTGTTCTGGACACTAGGCTGCCTAGGCTGAGTCAGAGATTGAGTTCTGTTAGGGAGTTCTGAGGCTGCTTTGGGCTTTGTTTCACGCCCATCTTTTCTTATCTCAGTCTAAAGGAAATATTTCTAAAGTAAATAAACACTAATGTTAGTGTACGAATTTAGTATTTCTCAAAATCTCTTGAAGATTTTAGTAAGGAGAAAAGTAACTATCAAAGATTTTAAAAATGTGGTTTTGCATTGTTTTTGTATATACTTCTGTGAAGTTGCTTTGGACTATTTCAGTACCACAGATAATTTACTTTATTATATGTGTAATCATTCATCCATTCGTCTATATTTATTTGCTTGTTCTTATTTATGTGCAATGCATTGTGATAGGCACTGGGGATACAAAGATATCAGACTTAGTTCCAGCAGTCTAGGCAGGGTGAGGTTTAAGACCCACATAGAATTAATTATAATGCAAGTTATAATTTAATTGCATAGCAGAGATCTAATGGGAGTTGTTCTTGAGGTCTTGTTGGCTTCCAGAGAGAGATAAGAACCTAACTCTAAGAATGGGCTTATGGTGGTCAAGCTCTTAAGCATTTTATTGTTTATTTTTAAGATTAAGAAAATGTTTTATTTTCCCTTGACTTAGAGTATCATATTAGCTTTTGAACTTTTACTTTCTACTTCCTTATCTTAAAAATATTGGTTTAGGTACTTTAAACGAATTAAGTTTAAATAATGTTCAAATAATAGTACATTTATAATCTATACATTTTAAAAGCGTTACTGTCAAAGAGTTCATATTTTGATACATTTAATAGTATGTAAAAAATTCACATTAGTGCATGTTCATCGGGAGAAGAGAGCTCCTCCAAATCCAATGAAGAATACATGCAAGTTACTGGTTGTAGCAGACCATCGTTTTTACAAGTACATGGGCAGAGGGGAAGAGAGCACAACTACAAATTACTTAGTAAGTATCTGATAGTAGATAAGATAATTGGCTGGGAGAAAAATTCATGCAGGGAAGCAGACTCCTTTTGGGAGATACCTGCTGTAATTTGAATAACAAAATAGAAATCTGTTTAGACATTATATGATTTATTTTACCTTCTGAGGGCCATTCACCCAAGAGATTAAAGATTATTTTAAGGCAGGCTTAGTTTCAGGTTTATTAAAATGTATATTACATTGAAATGATAAATAATATTTTAAATTAATTATTTCAATTTTGTAGTATTTAATTTATAGTTCACTTCTTTGTGTAAGCCCAACTGCCTATTGAAGAATTTAAAAAATTATCCCAATAGATTGCATTGCTGGGTGTTTGCAGTATTACTACTATGTATACAGGTATGTGTGTTCAGAAAAGGTATATATCTTTATGAATAGGGCTCTGTGTGTGTGTGTGTGTGTGTGTGTATGTGTGTGTAAAGATTTTCAAAGAGAGTATAACCTTGGAATTTTGCATATCAGGGCTATACAGAAATAGTGTTGGAATATAGCTATGTGTATTGGACTTTTAATGGTGATAATGACTTGAAGGAACAATTAAAATAACGTTGAAGATGGAAATTAATTTTTAATTCCTGAGCATTTGATTTTTATAATCAAGTGGTATATTACATTGACATTTTTCATAGGACGATCTCATTTACCATATTGAATCTCGCACAATGCAAGCTATTCATGTATTGTTAGCCTGGCCCAATAAAGACATGGTTCTCACAGCCTTGCCCTCACTCTTCTCTCTTACTTACTTTGTTCTTCCAACCCCCCTATCCCATGGCCAATGAATGGATTTATTGTGTAAGTAGTGGCAGTTGACAAGAAATTGTTCTATCACTATGCCAAGTACCAAGAGAAGTAGTAATTCACTATAATTCTTGTCCCTAGTGAGATTTTGAAATGAATACTATTTTTTTCATTGGGAGTCTGTTCTTACTATTCATATGCTGATAACTTTTGATATTTTAAATGTAATAAGAGATTAATACTTCATTATTTCAGTGGAGCCATTGTCTCATGATTGTGGGTATTCCTACCAGTGATGCAAATCACAGCCCATTCTTCCTTCTCATCTTGTGCCATTCTTGCCAATATCCTCCCATAAATCCTTCAATATAAAATGTGTACATTGCCTTCTTCGAGGCTTTCTAGATCTTTTAACATCAAAACTTGTACTGTTCAGCTGTTATTCTTATTTTTGTTGGCCTTTTTTTCCTTGTCATGTCTTTGATAATGTCTTATGCTAATTTTCATGAGCAAGTCATCATTGGTAATAGTAGGTTGAGGCTACTTATATTCACTATGCATGTCTTAATTTTATTTTTAATGATTAACAGAAACTTTTTTTTGGAATCCTCTCCAGAAAGAGTCTTTTAGTTTTGCATTGTATTATACAGATTTGTAAAAATCTGCATGATTTCCTTTCCTTTCATCCACAGATTGAGCTGATTGACAGAGTTGATGACATCTATCGGAATACATCCTGGGACAATGCAGGTTTTAAAGGTTATGGCATACAGATAGAACAGGTATTCATGAATGGATGTGGCTTGTGTTTACTGACTCAAAATTATGCTTTCATTTGAACATTTGTTATCTGGTATACCCCACTCCTAGACCGTAATTTTCATGAGGGCAGGAGACTGTCTTATTTAATCTTTGTATTTTCTACAGGTCCTACTACACTGTGTTTTGGAAATGGCTGGTTAATTTGTATTCAGATGTGAATTATGAGAATTTTTAAAAAAACCCCTGTATTAATATTTAGTGAAGTCAGTGAATTATGCTTATACTAGTGATCCTTCAATCGAATTAGAGGATGCTTCTCTTATTGGTCTTTTGTAGCAAAATGGAAAATGCTTTTAGGCTTTTTGTTGTTGTTGTTGTTGTTGTTGTTGCTGTTGTAGTATGGAGATGGTGGTCTGGACCTGAGAGTTCGTAAGAAAACTCCCTCTATTCATGTAGATGAGCAGTTGTTCAGCAATTTATAGACTTAAAGAGTCAACGAAGAGTTAAATTAAGTGACTTGTCACCCAGAATCACACAAGCATGTTTCAAAAGCAGAACTTGACATCTGGCCTTCCTGACTCTAAGTCTGGCTCTCCATCCATTGCACCTCCTCGTGCTGCCTCTTTGTTCCGAGCTTACTTCAGCATATTCTCATCTGTGAAGCTTTGTCACATCACTTTAGCTTATAGTACTGTCGCTTTTACCTGAGCTTGTAGTGCTCATCATCTTCTTTTGTATTGTTGTTTAATTCTTCCTATGTATTTATACTGGTTCTCCCACCTGATTGTAAGATCCTTGTAGCCAGGAACCAAGTTTTATACTTACTTTTTTCTCTTAAAGGATGTATCTCAGTGTTTTAAAATCAGTATGTGTTCAGTAAATGTTTATTATTGTTTCAGTCATTAGATTTGTAGATGTATAAATGATTTTCATACATGTCAAAATATTGACATTTTGTTTTCCCATACACAAATTTGTGGTGCTTTTTCTTGGAATATGTAAATACAAAATAGCACCATGCACAAAAGTAAATTCAAAATCAGCAAACATTTATTCAGTAATTAATCAGCAAGTGCCATACTACATGCCAGGCTCTGGATACAAAGACAGCTTCTTCTGTGCTATCATCAAATACACTCATTTCCCCCCATCATTTAAAAAAAAACAAACAACCCTCTTGTGATTGTCCCATCTGCACTAGCTTTCATCCTGTATTTCTCCTTCCCTTCTCAGCTGAACTCCTTGAAAAAAACTGTTCATACTTGGTCCTTCCAAATCTCCCTCTATTCTCTTCTGAACCCTCTGTAGTCTGGCTTATGACTTCATATTGTACAACTGAAATGGTTTTCTCCAAAGTTATTGAGTTAAAAAAAATTATTTTAAAAAAAAGTTAAGTTAAAGAGTAGGTCTCTTAAATGCCAAATATAGTGAATTTTTCTCAATCCTCTTTTTTTTTGACATCTCTGTGGTATTTGACACCACGACTTTCACCTCAACTTTCCTTCTGGGTACCATGTCTTGGGTTTTAATGACACTGCTTCCCCAGGGTTCTCCCACATTTCAGCTACATCTTCCTTTACATCAAGCCCACAATGGGTATCCTCAACATGGCATCCTCGTCCTCCTCCTTTTTCTTTATATTCTCTCACTTAGTGATCTCATCAGCTCCAATGGATTCAGTGATCATCTCTATGTAAATAGTTCCCAGTTCTGTATATCAGACTTACTCTCTTTTCCTGAGTTTTAGGCCTGCATTACCAAGTGCCTCTTAGATATTTCAAACTGGCTGTCCTATATGCCTCTCAAACTTAATATGTCCAAAATAGACCTTATTATCTTTTCCCCAGAACATACTCCTCTTTTCTGAATTTTCATATTATTGTTGAAGGTAACCCTATCCTCCCGGTTCACCAGGTTCACAGCCTTGGTGTCATCCTCAGCTCTTTACTGTCTCTCACTCCAGATATCCAGTCAGTTGCCACATCTTCTGATTTCTTTCTCCACAACATCTTTTGCATATAACCCTTTCTCTCTTACTTATATAGCCATCACCCTGTTTCATCATCCCTTGCCTAGGTTATTACAATAGCCTACAATAGTAGATTTCCCCATCTCAGATCTTGTCCCACTTCAATCTGTCTTCCACATAGCCACAGAAATAATTTTCCCAAAGCTCAGATCTAACTGTGGCATCCCTCTACTCAGTAAACTCCGCTGGCTTCCTGTTACCACCAGGATCAAATTGAGAGTCTTTGGTTTAACATTTAAAGCTCTCAGGTCCCTTTCCAGTCTTTCTGCTTTCCACTGTATTCCTTGTAGTCCTCCACTCAGCTATACTGGCCTGCTTGATGTTCCTTATACATGACATGCCACCCTTTTTTTCTGTGCCTTTGCACTGGCTGTTCCCCAAATCTGTAATGCTCTCTGTACTCACCATCGCCTCTTAAAACTCCTGGCTTCCTTCAAGACTCAGATTAAATGCCACCTTCTGCTGGAGGACTTTGCTAGCCCCTCCCAGGTACTGGAGCCTTCCTCTCTAAGGCTCTCTTCTATCAATTCTTGTATGTGTCATACATCATATGCGTACTTCTTCATATAAATGTTATGTTCTTCAGTAGAAGATAAGTTTATTGAGGGCAGGGGCTTTTTTCCCTTTCTTTGTGTCCTCAGCTTTTCACACAGTGCCTGGAAGATACTTAGTGCTTAAGAAATGTTTATTGTTAGATAATTGCAAAATAAATAAAGAAATAAGAAGTAGTTTTAAGAGGGAGGATACCTGCTGCTGGGGGTATTAATTAGTGAGGGGCAGCTAGGTGACACAGTGGATAGAGCACCAGCTCTGGAGTCAGGAGGACCTGAGTTCAAATCCAGCCTCAGACACTTGACACTAGCTTTGTGGCCTGGGCAAATCCCTTAACCTTGTTGCTACTCAGAAAAACAAAGAAACAAGAAAGGAAGGATATTAATTAGTGAACAAGAATTTATTAAGTGCTTACTATGTTCCAGGCCCCAAGGTATTGATCTTGGGGCGAAGTTTATGTAGAAGATGGAGCTTGAGCTGAGTCTGGAAGGATGTAAAGAATTCTAGAATGAGGGACGACCATGCAACATCAAGAAGGACAATTTGCCTCAATGGTAGAGTACAAGAAGGGAATTACTGTATAACGAGGCAGGAAAAGGTTAGTTCAGGTCGTTGTAAAGAACTTTAAATTCCATAAAGAGGAATATACACTCTTTTATCACAAAGGCAATAGGGAGTCCCTTTTATTAATACTTTTATTAAGGGGATTTGTTCTGTGAAGTTTGGATTCAGTCAGAGGGCCACACTTAAGGACATAGGGGGCCATATGTGGCCTTGAGACTGCAGGTTCCCCACTCTTGCCCTAGGGTTTATTGTATGGAGAAGGTTTTGGGGGAGAGTGTGATGGTCAGAATTACAATTTAGGAAATCACTGTGGCAGCTTGTGGAGAGTGAATAGAAGTCAGAAGTCTTGAGGCAAGAAGACCAATTAGGAGATTATATAGAGTGCTATGGAAGGTGCTGGGCAAAGAAAAACCAGAACAGAATCTAAGGAATTTACATTCCACTTAGGAGAATCTAAATAAATAAGTACAATGGAAGGTAATTTGAAGAGGAAGAAAGCACTAACAACAGAGGGAGGGTATGAGGGAAGGCTTTCAATAAATATTTGATGAATTTTATAAAATATTATATTACCTTGGTATGTACCTGTTGTTACATTAATCATGGCCTATTGCTAGTGTCATGTCATATTGATAAAACTATTTGAAAAGATCACTCATACTTGATAGTACTCCCAATAAACTGATACATTTTAGTACAGATTTGTTGCTTTTGTATTTCTTTCCAGATTGTTCTACATTTAGGGTGGTGGTGTCGTTGTCTTTGTTGTTGTCTTGGCTAAAGAGAGCCTTTTAAAATAAATTGGTAGTAATGATATCAGTACTGTGTTCTTGAAGTTTGGAGGTTTGTAGTTTGGGTAATTTTTTTTCTCCTCACATAAGACATAAAATTGATCTTTGTTAAATCTTTTGTCAGAAATTGTAAAGGCAGCATATTTACATGGACTACTTAGAAGGATCATATTCTCTATAATCTTTTCTGTTAGTTGCAAAGAAATAGCAGACATTATGTAATACAATGTCTTCATTTTATGGTCCATAGTGACTTTAAACCTCTATTTTTAAAAACATTATTACCTTTATTTTTATATTTCTACATCTTTTAAGTAATAATGATATTCTAACCTCATGTCTTCTGAGTTTTAATTTCTGAAATTTCTATAAGAGAAATACAGACAAGAAATTTAAGTTTATCAGTAACTGTACATTTTTTTATTGTGGGTTTTGTTCTCTCTGCTTCTCAGTTCGTTTTTTAAATGACTTAGCTTTAGATTTTAAAGATTTGTAGGGTTTAATTAAAAAACATTTTTCCTATTCTGGCATAGTATTTTGGTATTTATACAATTGTTAGAGTTTTGATGTTTACTTTCTATGGCTTTACTCTAATTATATCCTCTTTTTAAGTATAGATTCGTATCCTCAAGACACCTCAAGAGGTAAAACCTGGTGAAAAGCACTTTAACATGGCAAAAAGTTATCCCAATGAAGAGAAGGATGCTTGGGATGTGAAGATGTTACTAGAGGTAGGTTACAATTTAAGATGCAGTGACTCATTTAAGGATTCTTTACATGAATATAACTCAGTTATACACATTGATGAAATAGAGCATCAGAGCAGATAATTGAAAACTGGAAATAATTCATTTAGCTTTTTCAAACAATAATGCTGTATTGTGTGGCAGGAAAAGCAGCTTTGGGAAACATTGCAGGCCCTTATGGCTTTTTCACTGAGAAGTGTGGTGAACAGAATACTTTCAGGGAACACTGTCTTTCTGGGTACCAATTTTTGGGGGATGTGGTATTGGCACACATCAGTGAAAGGAGCTTCAGTATCTGAGTCCCAGAAAATAACTATAGCTAGCACCGACATGTTTGCACATATTGTTTCTTCCTGCTAGCTCCTTGAGGGCAAAAACTGGGCACCTATGTCCCTAGCACAGTGCCTCACAGATAGATACTTTAAAAAAAAATTTTTTTTTGGTGAAGCAGTTGGGATTAAGTGACTTGCTCAGAGTCACACAGCTAGTGAGTGTTATGTATCTGAGGTCAGATTTGAACTCAGGTCCTCCTGACACCAGAGCCAGTGCTCTATCCATTGTGCCGCCTAGCTGCCCCTAAAATTCTTGTTTATTGATGGATTGATATAGTTGGAGGATAGGGTCCTCTTATGATATCATCTGCTTCCTTTCTTTCTCAAGTCTACTTTGGTTCTTGCATGTTGTGATGGCAGAGTATTGGATGAACCTGAAATCAAAAGGCTCGAGTCCTAGTCCCAACTCTCCCATTACTAGCCATATTATGCACGTAAGCGCTTTGAACCTCGGTTTTCTCATCTTTGAAATCGAGATTTTAATATTTGTCTAGCCTTTGATATAGGGTTGTTGTATAAATCAAAAATATAGTCCATCTACACATAGCTGGTTATTCATGATATTAGAGATAAAAGAACTGTCTGTGTCTTGCTTTTAAAGCCTTTTATCTGACCATTTTTAGGTGAGTCTGCCATCAGGAGAAGGCCTCTCTAAAAGATAACTTAACATTTATGTAAAATTTTCTTTAGAGCACTTGAAGGAATTTATAGACAATCTAAATTGCACAACCTATTTGTAAAGGAAATGGAGGGACTGATTTCTCTTTTTATGGACTTTTTAAAAAGTAAGGGACTGGATATAAAAAAAAGTGAGGGACAACGCAAGTTAATAACATTCATGGGAGTATACTGGTAGTGAGTTTAGCAACCTGGTCTTTGGACAAAAACCAGATACTTTTAAAATATTTTGATATCAGGAAATTTAGTAGTGATATTTCTCCCCCCCCGCCCCCATGGAATGTCACTCTTCATGTAGTCATATTATGTATCTTCTAATTAGCCTGGAAGTGAAAAAGTAGTGTTATAAGTTTTTTTTTTCAAGGAACCTTTTTTGCAAAGGTTACCTGGGACAGCTTTAAAAGACATTCTTAAATATATAATTACAGTGTCTTCTTGGTCTGGGTTCCTTGTCATCAGACCGTATAGTTTCAGCCCTGCATATCTATAAAAAGTTGCTGAGCTCCTTTACTCTAATTATCTCTTCCTGTCAGGCATCATATTGGACATTTTGTCTTATACTTTTGTACAGCTGGTTGAAGCTCAGACCGGTAGATGAGGTATCTGGATAAAAGACACTAGAGCAGTTGGGTTGTGATGCTGGGCTGTGAATAGTAATAAAGAACTATTTGGGGATGCTTGGTAACAATATCTTTTAGTCTGATATTATTTTGCATCTAATTAATTTTTTAAAGCAATTCAGCTTTGATATAGCTGAGGATGCATCAAAAGTTTGCCTTGCACATCTTTTCACATATCAAGATTTTGATATGGGAACTCTTGGATTAGCATATGTTGGATCTCCCAGAGCAAACAGTCACGGAGGTGTTTGTCCAAAAGGTAAGATTTTTTTTTCTTCAGTTCTCAGATGAATGTATTTTTGGTATTGCTAGCCAGGGTGTCTGGAGCATAAGTAAAGGAAGGAGTGGGGTAGTGGAAGGGGGGAAGGGAGAGAGAGGAAAGGTGTATGGCGATGTGTAGTGATGTATTCCATAAGTAATTTGTCTTCTCCCCCCACCCTTTTTTTTTCTCTAGCGTATTATAGCTCTGTTGGGAGAAAGAACATCTTTCTGAACAGTGGTTTGACCAGCACAAAAAATTATGGTAAAACCATCCTTACAAAGGTATATTTCTTTCTTTTTTTTTCTCTTTTTTTAAATTAACTTATTTTGATTTATCAACAATCACTTCCATAAGCTTTGGGGTTTTAAATTTTTCTCCTCCTCTCTCCCCACCTCCTTTCCCAAGACAGCAAGCAATCTGATAGAGCCTATACATATACATTCCTATTAAACATATTTTCACATTAGTGATATTGTAAGTAAGAATTAGAACCAATAGGAGGAACCACCAGAAAGGGAAATAAAACGCAATAGAAAAAAAAAAAAAATATCAAATAGTATGCTTCGATCTGCATTCAAACTCCATAGTTCTTTCTTTGGATGTGGATAGTATTTTCCATCATGAGGCCTTTGGAGATGTCTTAGATCATCCCTGTATTGCTGAGAAGGGTTAAGTCTATCAATATTAGTCATGGCACAACGTGGCTGTTACTGTGTATAATGTTCTCCTGGTTCTGCTCACTTCACTCAGCATCAGACCATACAAGTCTTTCCAGGTTTTTCTAAAGTCTGCCTGTTCATCATTTCTTATAGCACAATTGTATTCCATTACATTCATATATCACATTCAAAGTTATGATTACTATCTGTATCTTTCTCTCCATCCTTTTTTCCCCCGTTTATGCTTTTCTTTCTCCTTTCTCCTTTTCCCTCCTCACTAGGGTTTTGCTTTTGACCACTGCCTCCCTCAGTCCTACCTCCCTTCTATTAGCTTCTTCCCTTTTCTTCCCCTTTACTCTTACTCCTTCTCTCTCTTCTATCCCCCTTCTCTTTTCTTTCCCCTTTTCTCTCTTACTGACTATAGGGCAAGTTAGATTTCTATACCCAACTGATGATGTTATTCCAAAGGTATGTTTCTTGATGGTTCTTTTAAAATACTTAAGTCTATGATAAATGCTATACTTTATAGGTCACAGATATTCATAAACCCAGCACACTGGATTGTGTTTTTCAGAGGGTTCAAACCTGGCTTGTGTTCCAGATTCATGTCGATCTTCAAGTGATGTGCTCTCTCTAGGAAGTGCATTTTGACATCCCACTAGTCTTTAGTACGAAGTTTGATTAGAATCCTGTATTGTCTTACATCGTTCTGTCAGTATTCATTAACTTAATTTTGAATATGCATGTGAGAGCCACATGTAGTAGAAAGAACATTGGACTTAGTTTAGAGTCTGAAAAGTCATGTCCTAGTTCTGCCACATACTGTCCATGTGATCCTGGTAAATAGTATATAACCTTTCTTAGCTCTTAGGTTCCATGTCTGTAAAATGAGGATTATGATTTCTGTTTCAACTTCATTACAAGTTGCTGTGAGGATTTAAAAAAACAAAGATAATGCTGATAAAGTGCTTAATAAATTTGTACCATACCGCAATTAAAAATAACACAATTTGTCATTAAGTTTCATTAGATACCTTCTCTGAAATTTATACTTTTAGTTGTCATTAGTAAGTAGAAAATATTTTAAGTAAAAAATGTTGTGTTGATACTAAACACTGTATTTAAAAACTGCACATTTGTTCTTGTAAATTCAGTTTGGGGTTCTATTTTAGTATTCTGATTTGACAGCCTTGCTAATTTTTCGAAGGGAAATTATGTATTTGGGGAAAAAATATTGGCTGAATTGTAGCAGAGTTTGAAATCTAGGTGAGCCTCAGAATTTTAGATTACATAATATATATAGTGATTTAAATTTTAGGAAGACCTTCAAAGGGAGGCTTGCCAGTATCACATTCTTTGATTTAGTGATTGATGAAGGGCATTTATTTGAAGATTTTCAGACATTTTAGTTTTGCTTTAGGGAGACTTATGGTCATGAAAATGTTCTGAAAAGTTGGCATTCCTAGTCAGTAGGACTTAGAATAAGAATAGTCCTAATTCTTCTTAGTCATGTGCATTTTTGCTTTTTTTTAATGGCATAAAGAAATGTGTTATTATTTAATTGATAATCTGTTCATATCATTTCTGTTAGAGTGACTATGGCCCACTCTTTATAAAACCATTTTTTTCCTGATGAGTATGAAATGAGATTATTATAAATATCTGTCTTGTTAGTGATTCATCAGATCATACAGTTTAGAGACTACTGCAATATCTTTCCCAGCATGGATGTATCAGATTAATTGAATGGCATATTAATAGATTATACCCCTAAAATGAAATCTCTTTGAAAGCATATAAATAATCATGCTCTTTAGTACGTTATACCAAAGTTGTAAAAGCTTTAATATGTTGTAACAGTACTGAGATTTTGGGACACCTTCTGTTCTGAAAAAACAACATTGATTGTAAGCTATACTTAATTTTAGCTTATATTCAGACCAATATATTACTTAATTCACCCTTTCTCATATTCAACATAATCAGCAATAGCATAATAATTACTTAAGGACAAATTGAAGAGTAACCTTGAATCTAGTCTTGTTTGGCATCTAGAATGTATACAGCAAGTAATTCTTTGTTATTATCTTTCTATTGATTTTGTGCTATGAAACAAATCTGGAAAAAAATTATAAGCTCTTTTGTTTTTTAAGTGTATTTGCTTTTTTCATTTTTTGAAGCAATTAAAATTAAGTCAAACTTTTCTATTAAGTAAACACATTATTCCTTTATCCAAACAGACATTTCCTATTTTAAAATTCTTTAATCACTTGAAATCTTTACATATAAAATCCTTTTTTCTTGATTTGAACTTGCATATGTAATGATGAGATATATTGCTAGGTGGTGCAGTGGATAGAGTGCTACGGCTGGAGTCAGGAACACTCGTCTTCTTGAGTTCCAATCTGGCCTCAGACACCTACTAGTTGTGTGACTCTGGGAAGGGCCACTTAATCCTGTTTGTCTTAGTTTTCTCATCTGTAAAATGAACTGCAGAAGGAAATGGCAAATCACTCCAGTATCTTTGCCAAGAAAACCCCAAATGGAGTAACAAAGAGTCAGACACAACTGCAAAATGACCAAACAACAACAGTGTAATGATATTTTGGCAGTTTTTATTCTTTTCCCTTATAAAATCTATGGGAACTTTAATAATAATAGGCAACATGTAGTACTTTAAGTATTGTGAAAATCTATATATTGTTTCACATATCCTTGTGAGGTGGGTGCTACAAGTTTTATTATCCTCAGTTTACAGATGAGGAAACTTGGGCTTCGAAAGCTGAAGGCATTTACCCGTGGTCACATGGCCTAGAAATGTTGGAGAGGGCTGGGGAGTTCAAAACCCAGATCTTCCTGACTCCTATTCAGTTCTCTTTCCACAGGCCCTCTCTGCCTGTTAACAGTCATATAATTCTATGACCTCTTTAACGTATGAATGTTTTCTTTGTCAAGAACCTTTTAGTTATTAATTCTTGATTTTATTAAAATATGTCAGTGAATAGTTTTAGGAATTGAAGAACAAATTACATCACTTTCACTTTTTGTTTTTGGTGTTAATTTTCAAAATCATAGGGTTATAGGCTGTATAGATAAAAGTGAACTTACAAATAATCTCATCCTTGTTTTACAGAGGAGAAACCTAAAACCTAGAGGAGGGGAAATGACTTTCTAAAGGTTACATAAGTATTAAATAGCAGAGCCAGGATTTGAACCCAAATCTTCTTATTCTAAATCTACTTCTCTATTTTAATGATATTACTTTGAATCTTTAAAACTTTATTTTGTACTTTAGTAGGACCTTTTGATATATTTCTGTTGCTTATGAAAAAGTGAGCTGAAATTTTACTATTGTTATTTTTTACAATTATCCCTAGATTAATTTTAACCTCACATATCATGACATTATAGGCCTTAGTAATAATCACATAGCACCTTCTAAATTGATAAATACATGATAAATCTCCAGGACCTTAAGCCCAACTGAAGCAATCATCCTAAGTTTCCATATTTGTTCCAACTCAGCTGCAGTCATAGGCTTCTTTATCTTTTTTTGCTTAAGTTTTTACAATTCCACTAAACGAGTCAGCTATATTAATTAGAAGCACTATAATACTAGCATTGTCTAATAATAGAATAGAATACAGTAACTGGTGAGGACCAATGTATTTATGACATCAGTCTGGCTTTATCAAGGAATATGGGCCCTTATTACCAAAATACTTTACAATCTGTTGTGGAAAATCATAGCACATTCTTTGCACTGTCCTTAAGGAAGCTGATTTGGTTACAACTCATGAACTGGGACACAACTTTGGAGCAGAACATGATCCTGACGGCTTAGCAGAATGTGCCCCAAATGAAGATCAGGGAGGAAAATATGTTATGTATCCGATAGCTGTGAGTGGAGACCATGAGAATAATAAGGTATGTAGCCCTTTATTTTCATATTGCCAATGAGGGGAAAGAACTTGCTTTATCTTTAAGAAAGAATTCAGAAATTGTATTCCATGCCTAAGGATGAAAAAAGAGGGGGACTCAACCTTTCAACCTACCTCCCCCCCCTAAAAAAAAAAGAGTAGTGCGTGTTATAATCACATATGGTTATGTAGTTAAAGGTGTCATTTGAACCATTTGAGTAACCAAAAGTAAGGTTTCTCAGACTCTTTCTTCTGTGTTTTTGTTTTTATACTTAAGCTCTATAGAGAAGCAGTTGTAGAAGTGATCTTCAATCCATCCCCCATACAAAATAATTTTATTAATTAATAGATCTGATCATGTCACTGCCCTTTTCAAAACTCTTCAGTGGACTCCTGTTGCCTCTAGAATAAACTGTAGACTTCTTAGCTTAGTATTTAAGCTAAATTCCAGTAAAAGACTGAAGTTGTTTTGTGGGGTATAGAAAGGATTCTTCTAAATTTTATACTAGCTAGACTCTGAGGTCCCTACTATCTCTGGAATTCTTTGATTCATAGATTCAGCCCAAATATGTTTTTTTATTCACAATGTATAAATTTTAACAGAAGCTGTTCACAAAGCTCTTGATTGATCACTGTTCCTCATACAAAGCACTTGTTTCTTTATTGAAAAATTCCAGAGACATTGTTGAAACAGATTTGAGTGACCCATGATTTTGTTTTGTTTTTGTTTTTGCTTAGGCAGTTGGGTTTAAGTAAGTGTCAAGTGTCTGAGGCGAATTTGAACTCGGGTCCTCATGCCCACAAGGCCAGAGCTCTATCCACTATGCTACTTAGCTGCCCCAACCCATGATTTCTTAACCGTACCTTAAATTATAGAAATGACAAGCTCTTGGCCAACGATGAAATGCTCCTGAAAAAGACTCTTGAAAATCTAATAAAAGGGTCTTTTAAACTATAAAGGTAGAGGAAGAGGGGCAGCTAGGTGATGCAATGGATAGAACACTGGGCTTGGCTTCAGGAAGACTCATCTTCATGAATTCAGATTCTACCTCAGACACTTACTGGTAGTGACTTATACCTACTGACCCTAGGCAAGTCACTTAACCCTGTTTGCCTCAGTTTTCTCAGCTGTAAAATGAGCTGGAGAAAGAAAGGTCAAACCACTCCAGGATCTTTGCCAAGAAAACCCCAAATGGGGTCATGAAGAGTTGGGCACAATTGAAATGACTAAACAAGGGAGGAGAGAAAACTGCCTAAGTTTATCCACTGAACTAGACACCAGAAAGATTAGCTACAGTAGATAGGAAGAAGAATAGCAGTAGAGATGATTAGAAATTTACAGGAGACAAAACTGAAAGTATCCCATGGCCTCAGATGTTTATACAAAGCATAGTAAAGTGAACCAGAAGTCCTATATCAAGGAGAGAAGTTAGATAGTTTGTAGAGCGAATTCTTTTTGTTACGGAAATGAGGGGTAGGGGGAAGAATTGTAGTAGATGACTGAATCCCATGATTTTGAAAGATACAAGATGGAAAGAATACTGAATTTAAAAGTCAGTAGACCTATCTGAGCCACATTTTTCTAATTTTTAAAACTGGTATATAACACCCGTACCACCTCCTCTATTGGCTTACTATTATTAAGCTCACAATAGAGGCAGCTTGGTACAGTTGGATTTATAGTTAGAGAACCTTTGTTCATAACTTTTGTCTTTTACTATCTCTGTGACCTTGGGCAAGTCATTTAATTTCTCTGGACCTTAGTTTTCTTGTCTGCCAAATGAAATTGTTGAACTAAATGGCCTTTGGGGCCAGTGTAGGAAAGTTCTTTCCAGTTCTAAATGATGCTTTTATATTCTTTCTAATTCTGAAAACTCTTAGGTTTTACTAATACCTGGTGAGATGGGCTCTATGACATGGTCTAACCAGGCAGAGTACAGAGGGACTGTCACTTCCTTTGTTTCTCTGTCTGTCTTCCTCCCTCTTTCTCTTTCCATAGCACTTTCATCATGAGACCTTTGGGATTATTTTTGCATCATTGTATTGCTGAGAATAACCAAGTCATTCACACTTTGTGGTATAACATTGCTGTTACTGTATACACTGTTCTCCTGATTCTGAGGATATAGACCCATTGTCTTGTCTAAATAGGATCACAGAATCACAGTACTCTGGAGGTTTTTTTGTGTTATTGGAACCCTAAGGCAGTCTGGTAAAGCATATGGACCCTTTCTCAGAGTAATGTTTTTAGATGCATAATATAAAATACATAGGATTGTAAAGGGAACCAGCTAAATTAAAATATAAAAGATATATTGAAAATACAAGTTGATGGATCCCAGGTTTAGATACTCTGATCTAGCTCCACCCACATCTGAACAATGTACTTCCTTCCCTTGGTAGTTGACCAGCAGGAGCAAGACATATTTATCTTTCATAATGATAGTTTGCCTTCCTCTGAAGCTGTTAAAGAAGCACTTACCATATCCAACCTAACCTTTCAATATCTTTGTTGGGGGCAAGGAAGGGGTTGGAATTCTAAACAGGTGACACTTAGAAGTAACATTAGTAGCTTCTTGGTACTTCTGGGACAGTATCTTATTACAAGTTTCATAGTAAAGACTATTCCTTGTCACTGAGTAAAAGAAGCAGATGTATTTCAAGATGGGAATGAACTTTTATGATGTGATTTTGGCCTGTGTGGCATTTTTTTTGTGTGTTCTTTAAGATGTTTTCAAACTGCAGTAAACAATCCATCTTCAAGACTATCGAAAGTAAGGCTCGGGAATGTTTTCAAGAACGCAACAACAATGTGTGTGGGAATTCCAGGGTGGATGAAGGTGAAGAATGTGATCCTGGCATTATGTATCTGAACAATGACACCTGTTGCAATACAAACTGTACCTTGAAAAAAGGAGTTCAGTGTAGGTGAGGATTGTTAAACCATTTAGTTTGATTAGAAACTCTAAAGCGCACTATAAATAAATGAGACTGAAATGTTGGTGGCCTTATTCTAATGTTAAAGGTAGTCACCTTGCCTCTCAATTTTCTCATCTTTAAAATATAGTTCATAGTAATGATTCAATTGTATAATAAGTAATGATTCTGAATCTAAGATTTTGCAAATATAACTTTAAATTGTTAGGTCATCTGTTCTAATGTAATAGTCAACAGGTGTAAGTAACCTAAAACAATAACTCAATTTGGCAATATGGCCAAGGAGGTTAAATCCATACTTTATCCCTTCCCACCCCAGCCAACTAGTAGACTAATGCCTGGCTGAATATAAGGGGGGAAAATCTTGAAATATTTTTTAAAAAAAACCTGTAGATAATTGAAGGCTACCCATATAAAGAGCTATCTAAATAAACCATTGTGATGAAAAATCAGCAACCCTATACATTAGGTATGCAAATGAATCTCATAAGGTATGGTCTTTTAATTATTTTGTTAAGCCAGTAAACATTAAGAATGCTGAACTATATGGAAAGATATGTTATGTGTTCAGTATGCTTTTGCTCTTATATGTCTTTGATGCTGGTGCATCTTTTCCAAATGGATCTGTGAGGGGCAGCTAGGTGGTGCAGTAAGTAGAGCACTGGCCCTGGAGTCAGGAGGACCTGAGTTCAAATCTGGCCTCAGACACATGATACTCACTAGCTGTGTGACCCCTGGCAAGTCACTTAACCCCGATTGCCTCACCAAAAACAAACAAACAAACAAACAAAAAAATGGATCTGTGATTTCATATGGAAGACTCTCAGTGAGGAAATTCTTATTATTGATCCAGATTAGTACCTTCTCTGCACCTCATATTTTTAAAGATTTGCCTGGGCACAAAAAAAAAGTCCCAAGTGATTTTTATAGGGTCACACAGCCAAGATGTGGAAGAGTATTTGAACCTAAGTCTTGTTGATTCTGCATTAAGCTGTCTGCTTTATAGCCATCACACTGCCTCTCCGTTGCTTTCTTCATTAGCAGAGAAATGTAGAGGGTGATGTAGCCACAGTTAGGCCGGATCTGTAGGCAGTAAATGAACTTAAACATTGCAGAAATGATTGTGCAGTAATGGAGTGCAGGAATTTGGGGGGATGGTCTGTAAAGGATAGAGCACACTGGCTGCAGAAGTTTCAGTTGTAGTGATAATGCTTTTAATATGGAAAATGTACTTTTATTCATGTTTTAACTTTCCCATCGAATCCTCTTCTCCCAGTGATAGAAATAGTCCTTGCTGTAAAAATTGTCAGTTTGAGACAGCTGAGAAGAAGTGCCAGGAGGCCATCAATGCTACCTGCAAAGGCGTGTCCTACTGTACAGGTATTTCATCCCAATGGCTTTCTTTTTGTTTGGTCACCAAACAGTGTGTGCCAAGAATTCTTAGGTCAGTTGCACATTCTTCACTTAAAAAATGGTTTACATACACTGTGTCAGTATTCTAGCAAGGATTTCTAGAACTACTTCCAAGACAGTTTTCTAACTATATGAGCTTTTATCTTTTTTTTAATCTTGGGGAAAAGCCACTTAATGTCACTTTGTTATAAAAGACATTTTACTTTATAAATCATATAATCCTTCCCTCCGCCCCTCATCTGGTTTTATAAAAGAATTTATGGGTACAAATGCGTGCAACAATTCTTTTTCCTTAGTACTCTAATGAATTTTATATACACACTTCAGCTTTACAACAAAACAAATATGAAATTTTTATTTTTGGACTGTATGTCTGTGCCTGCCTCATTTAGAGTAAAATGGAAATTCTTATCCAGGGCCCTCGTGGCCATTTTTGTACCCTTTAGTTGTGTAGTCTGTGCATAAATGTTTCCACCAGATTCAGAGAGTACACTTTGGAAGGAGGCAGAGTTGTCACTTGGCTGGTTTTTGAGGTTGGTTAAGAGTCATAATTTTATAGGGTTATGGATTTTTTGTTTTGTTAATGAAAAATAATTTTTGAAAAGGATGTATATCAATCAGGCAGTAAAACATTAAGCACCAACTATATGCAAAGCACTGTGCCAAGTGCTGGTATTACTCACAGATGTGAACGGAGGAGTACATTCTTTTTCCTATGAGCTGGAGGAGGTTCATGATTATGACTTTGAGGAATGTCAGTCTGTTCTAGGGATCCTTAATGATGAGGGACTTCCTCTTTAAAAGGGGATCTGTGAATGAAAAATATTACATCCTAAACCAAACATCTGTAACAATTGAATTTGGTTAATTCAAGCACTTTAGTTTCCACTACATGTGAGAAAGCCATATGGTGTTGTGGAAAGAACATTTGATTTGGAGTCAGCAAACTTGGGTTCTAGTTCTGTCTCTTCCATTTTCCTGCTGTGCCATGTTAGGTTAACTGCTTGATCCTCTTGGAGTCCCTGTCGCTTCTCTATGAAATAACATTTCCCCATCTACCACTGTGCAGGGCTGCTTTGAGAAAGGGTTTTGTAAAGGATACCTTACAAAAGTGGGGTGGGAGTCCTTATTGTTGTCACTCTAGGTAGTACAGCACAGCCTAGAGTAAAGTGGTTGATTCTTGACATCATCTTCATTCTCAGCTGTTTAAGTCCCTTTGTATCTGCCTGACTCTGTGGTCTTGGCCTCATTTGATTTTATCTCATTGTTCTTTATTATTAATGACAACAAACATTTACCTTGTAGCTGCCCTAAATAAGGCCCTGTGCTTAGGCACAGACAAAACAGACATGACAGAGCTTCAACCCTCAAGAAGCATTATATAGTCTAGTAGAGGCCACTTATGGAAAAAGATAGTATTTGCAGCTTTGTGTTGCAAAATGTCAAATGAATGGAACAAATAGTTCAGAAAGGAGGAGAAATCAGTGAGCATTCAGACTTAAAATGGACCTCATAGTGTCTTCTTTGAAACAGGGATCCAGTTTATTAAAGTCTGACAGCTTTCCACAGAGCATTGGCAGAAAATATTCCTGACTGGTTTTACTGTTATATTGAAAATGTAGCCCAACAAGCCCTGGGAATAGCACAGTCCCTTCTTGTATAGTTAGCTACTATTTGTGTGGTGGATCATGCTGAATTATGGGAAGCTCACTTTTCTGTGCTGCTATTCTGCACAATTCATGGATCAACTTTTAGGAATAATAACAGCTTACATTTTTGTAGCACTTTAAGGTTTGCAGAGTACTTTCCCTACAATAACCGTATGAGGCAATGCAGATATCTTTATTTTTATACAAATGAGGAAATCAAGTAAGTATTAGGGTATTTGGTAAGCCAGGTCATGCCTTTTGTAGGATTTCACTTCTCACGAGAGAGAATATACCATGTACCTATAGATCATGTACTTGTAGAATGGATTTGTAGGAGGGTGAAAGAAATATTTTATTCCAGTAATCATCTGTTCTCTAATCCTTTGTTTCTAGGTAACAGCAGTGAATGTCCCCCTCCTGGAAATGCTGCAGATGATACTGTTTGCTTGGATTTAGGAAAGTGTAAAGATGGAGAGTGTATTCCCTTCTGTGAGAGGGAGAAGAATCTCCAGTCTTGTGCATGTAATGGTGAGCAAAACAGCAGATTGTTCTTGCCATTAAAAATGGTGTAAAAGTGGTTGTGATTCAGCAGACCCTTTCTTTGGAGGCAATGAGGAAGGAGAAATCAAGGATGTAAATTGGCAAGGTTATCAAAGCCAAAGCCTGTTAATTATGAAATAGCATTTCAGCAGCATTCTCCAGAACTTCCTTCCTTTGTTCTTAATTGATTATGATTTAACATCATAGGATTTAGAATTGAAAGGGGCTCAAGATCTCAGCTAATACAGTCCTGTCATTTTGCAGATGAGGACATAGGTACAGACAAGAGAAATGACTTGTCCAAGGTTACGTGGCTATTAAGTGTTAGCTGGGATTCAGAACAACATCTTTTGGTTCTAACTTCAAGGCTCCATGCCAGATGAGGTCAAGAAATAGCTAATCTGATAAATTGTTCTGAAAGATGTCTTGGTATAGTGGAAGGAACATTGAATCTGAAATGTGAGGGCCTGGCATAAGATCTGCTACTAAATGCCCAGGGGACAAGTCATCTTCCCTGGGCCTAGATGGTCTTCACATGTCCGAGATGTCCAGCTCTAAATCATCAGATCCTCAAATTGAAAATGCTTGGCTTCTGTAGCTGCTACAGAATGGCAATGCCATTAAACCCAGAAATGGGGAAGAGGGCTTACAGTGTATTCCCCTCATGGGGGTAGGATTGCCACACATCTCTTCCCAACACTCCTGGCAGCAGAAACCTCAGTTTATTACTGGGTTCGTTGTGATGAAACAGTATAGCCTAGTGGCAAAAGCTTTGGCCTGAGGACCAAAGCAGTGATCTTGCTAAGCCTGTTGATGGACTCCTAACTATTTAAGCCTCAGTATCAGCGTCTATAAAGTGGAAGTAATTAATCCTTTCATGCTCACTGGAGCTATTAACGAGTAAATGAAAGATTTCGAAGGGCTCTGAACTAAAGGAAGCTTGGTGTTTTATAAGTACAAGAATTAATTCTCGTAGCACAACTGTCTGTAATTTGTACAATATACTAAGTTGTGTGCTCTTTAGCCTGTTGATTTTCCTAGTTGAAGTTTTTCACTTTCAGTGTTCCCTGCTTCAGTGTATAGGGGTAGACTCCTTTCTGATTTCATTTATATATTCCAATGTTGTGATGGAACTGAGTGTCATGGCTATGATCTCAAAACTTCCAAAATTTTGGGCAGACAGAATGGAGGGAACTGAGGAACAAGAACCATCCTCATGGTCACTGTTAGGCCAGCCCCGGCCTGGTAGTGGTTATGTCACAGGTAGAACAAGTCCCTGTGTAGAGCTGGGATTTGGGAATAAATCCCAACTTTGCTCCTTCCTCGGGAAATCCTCAGAAGTCACTTTGTTTCAGGACCTCAGTTTCCCCATTTACATAGTGAGGTTAATGTAATAACAGCTGTAATAGTGCTTTATTTAAAGTTCATGAAGTGTTTTACACTTTACATGATGTCTAGAACTAGAATTTAATCCTCAGATCTGTAAGTAGCTACCACAAGAATCCCTGTTTTATTAGTAGAGAAACTCAGGTGAAATAGCTGGTCCATGACCACATAGCAATCCTACCTCATAGGGTTATTGTGAGGAAAACTCTTTCTGGGTGGGCATGGAGGGATGTCTGTGTAAAAGGCACCTGTTACAGAGTAACCAGCACCTAAGAATGCAGAGCCCTACCTCATAGTCTGACTGTGTCTTCAAAAGCCTTAATTACATTGGCAGCTTTAGTCGTAATACTTTGAATTGACTTTAAACCAAGAAACCAACAATTTAAATTGGCAAGATTAGTAGTTTTAGTTATATACAGGTACTGAGAAAATTTGTGATCTGCTTGTGAAAAAACTTGCATTTTGAAAAAAACTTAATGGCATATTGAATCCTAAAGGAAATTTTTGTTTCGGTGCAAGTTTTGTACTGAACATGGGAGGATACTTTTCTATGCAGTTTTTTTTTTTTGCTGTGAGGGTCACAAAGGTATTACTATAGATATTATACATTTGTCTCTTAAGAGATGAGCAGGGCGCAGCTAGGTGGTGAAGTGGGTAGAGCACCAGTGCTGAAGTCAGGAGGACCTGAGTTCAAATCTGGCCTCAGACCAAACACTTGTCACTTAGTAGCTGTGTGACCCTGGGCAAGTCACTTAATCCCAATTGCCTAAAAATAAAAAAGAAAAGATGAGCAGGAAACTTTGAGAAACTATTAGCTGAGAGATGAAAATGGGTATTGTTAATCATTCTTCTCCCTTCTCTTTGTTTTTCAAAGATATAATAACTCCCCTTCCTGAGAGTGTTGTGTGGTTAGTAAGGGAAAGCAAAGGAGAAAAAAATTGGTACTATTTGGAAGCTCAAATTGATGACATGCAGTGTCTTCTCTTTTAGAAACTGACCACTCCTGCAAAGTATGCTGTAGGGATGAATCTGGCCGATGTGTTCCATACCTTGATGCTGACAATAACTTCTTATTTTTGAGGAAAGGAAAGCCCTGTACTGTGGGATTTTGTGACATGAATGTAAGTATGTATGTCCTGCACATGTCCTTAAATAATCTGGTGGCCCCAGGTAGCCTAGAAATTTTCACTTCTTAAAAATATAGTCATTTATTATGCTTAGGTAATAAGCCATGTACTGCACTGGTGTGCCAATTGACTTATTCCGTGTGCATGATGAAGTATTATATATGATAGATCTTGTTTTCTACTTTCTATTATTCATTATATATATCATATTTTAGATGTTATAGCAAATTAAGTGATATATAACAATAGTATGGTAAATGACATATGAAGTTGGCATAATGACATTCATTCTGACAAAGTGATGGCAGCTAGGTGGTACAGTGGATGGAGTTCTGGGTGTAGAGTCAGGAAGATTCATCTTCCTGAGTTCAGATATCTGGCCTCAGACTCTTACTAGCTGTGTGACCCTAGGCAAGTCACTTCACCCTGTTTGCCTCAGTGTCCTCATCTGTACAATGAGCTGGAGAAGGAAATGGGCAAACTACTCCAGTATCTTTTATCAAGAAAGCCCCAAATCGAGTCACAAAGAGTCAGATACTACTGAAAACAACTGAACAACATGACAAACTGATGTCACTTAACCACACTGGCTTAATACATGCTATATGATAATATACTTTGCTCTGCTGTACTATGATATACTTTATTATGCCATACTATACTATATATGTGTTATTACCTTACATTACCATATATTGTCCTATACTATATGACGTATACTACATTATATCTTATGCTCTGCTATATACTATTTTTTATTATATTTTATGCATACTATGTACTATATATTTCATATAATATAGCATAGCATAAAATGGTTTAAGTGAAGCAGAAGTAGACTGGTGGCCTTATTTTCCTTTTCCTTTTTCATTAGCGTGGTGTCCATGAACTTAGTTTTTGTTTTTATAGATTAAATTTTTTTTCATTAAACAACAATCTGTTTTCTCTCTCCCACTTCTCTTGCTCTCATTGAAAAAGAAAGAAAAGAAAAACCCTCATAGCATATCTGCATAATCGAGCAAACAAATTTCCTGCATTTGCCATGACCCAGAGTATGTCTCATTCTTCACACTGAGTCTACCATCTTGTCAGGAACTGGGGTAGCATGATTCATCACTGGTCCTCTGGAATCAAGATTCTGCTTACTTAATCCAGGAAAAAAATCCCTTCATTTTCTGTAGATACTTCTGTTTGCACACATACACACGTTCTCTCATATACATATATACATGTATGTGCATACATACACATATAATAGAAGCAAATTTTAAAATTCTTGGAGATTGGTTGGGAAGTATTTTTGCAGTAGTAGCAGGATGACTCTTTGCAGGGCAACAGCTAAATTTCCCAATCAGTACTTTTTCTTTGGATGTTGTCTTAGTTTAAAAGATTCCTTCCAGCTCTTGATCTTGTCTATAAGTCCATGAATCATTATTGTCATTAAAAACATTTCCAGTTAGTTGTCTACTTTTATGACGCTAAATTTAGGTGGTCTGTGAAGTTAGATTTTTATATAGTGGTAATAATAATACTAATTTAACTTGAAAATTATTTCATTTGAGCTTCAGAGTAACCCTGAGGAGTAGGTACTATTATTATCCCCATTTTACAGATGAGTAAACAGGCAGAAGGTGACTTCTGAGGTCACATTTGAACTCAGGTTTTCCTGACTCTAGGCCCAGAACTCGATCCACTGTGCCACATTGCTGGCCTTTGAAGGGACTTTGAGACTCTGTTTTTCAGTGTTTATGGCATCAGTTACTCATACTAACATTTTCCTTTAAAGGGTAAATGTGAGAAACGAGTGCAGGATGTGATAGAGCGATTTTGGGATTTCATTGATCAGCTGAGCATCAATACTTTTGGTAGGTTCTTTCCCTGACTCTATTTTCATGTAGAACATTGGAGAACTTTCACTATTCTTGGAAGACCAATTATGGGAAGAGGGTTAAGTGCTTTAAAATTAAAAAAAAAAGATTCACTATAGTAACAAAGAATTATTCACCTATCCTGCTTGATGTATGTATCACTTAAAAACCTGACAGTAAGATTTATTTTTGGATATGTCCCTCTGTGGACAGTCAAGAATTCATTGTATATGTATAGAATAATTCAGAAAAAGTGGGTTTTTCAGACTAGAATCATAAGATTGAAAAAGTGGAAGCTTCTTATTCACATCTGTCACAAATCAATTTGATCACTTCAAATAAAACTGCAGTAATATAAGATTTGTCATTCTATGTAGGTCAGGGCTAAAACATTGTTTTCCTTCCTAAAATAATGTATCCCTCTAAACATAATCCTTTTGGCTCTAGGACAATGTGTAATCTAATCAAGAGCCACTTAATTTTACTGACACTAGTTGTCATTAGTTGACGTTTAGTCAACTAATTTTCCAGGAGCCACGGCATATTGTTGGCTTCTGGGACTTTATATTAACATGTAAACCTCATTGAATAACACAATCCATATTCTATAAGGATTGGCTTCTTGAGCAGTTGGTACCAGCAACAGTCTGAATGAGCAGCAGTCCTTTGATGCTGCATAGCCAGTGCCTCAACGAATTTTAAAAGTACTTATTTGCAATGAGATTTTCAATTTATCACATTCTTCACTTATATCTTCTCAATGAAGTATTTCCATAACAAAGAATTCTAGGTCTGATACTGTTATTGGTAAGGAAAAAGCATAACTAGCTCACACTGTTTTTGGATTTGTTGAACACTGACACAGGACATTTACAGTTTTTCAAATTATTCGCAGGGAAGTTTTTAGCAGACAACATTGTTGGTTCAGTCCTCGTCTTTTCCTTGATTTTGTGGATTCCCCTCAGCATTCTTGTCCATTGTGTGGTAAGTCACAAGTCTTTAAGTGATGATGAATTTAATTTTGATTACAACAATCTACTACACCTTATGAAGGATAGGTGGAATTTGATCTTGGCAAAATATTTTCCCCCCATGAACATTGAATGTTAGTGGAACATTGCTTCTCACTGCTATGACCTTTTATTAGTCAAAATATGGATTTCTTTTAAGAATGATTCTTAGTAAGAAGCCAGTTAGACTACTCTTTATTTTGCAGAAAAGTACTGTATTTACAGTAGATGATTTTACATCTTAGTTTAATTTTAAAACACAGCCCTTAAGCACTAGGGGACCCTGATACAGTGGTCCAAACAAATGTTTTAAAGATCACTTAAGTATAAGCAGAGATACCTCAAGCAGCCATCTCCAAGTTGTTATCATCTAGTTCTGGATGCACTAAGTGCATCTTGTCCCCCTTGCAATAAAACTTTGAGGAACTCAAAATGCTTTTCAGATTGCCTTCTATGTGGGGTAGCAGGTAGGGAGGGAGTATTTTCTTCATTTTAGAGAGACCTAGCTCTCTTGACTTGGGCCCACTCCAAAACTCATGCTGTTCTTTTGTTTACCCTTCATGTAGTAATTTTCAGTAGGCTCATCACTTTATTAAGTGGGGCAGATGCTCTTTATAGCCATAAAGCAGGCACCTGTCAACCGCCAGTAAGAGCATGGATCCTGATTCTTAGTTCTATAAGAATACAGCATAGTTCAGGAAAGACTTTTTATGTATGTGATGCCCATAAGAGCTTTGTGTTTTGGAAAAACTTGTTTTGGGCATTTGATTCTTCCATGTGGTCCACTCATCACAGGGCTGGCTGTTCATGGAAAAAGCTGTGGAGGAAGTTAGAAGCAGGAAGGTGTAGGGAAGGGAATGGGAGGGAAGTGGTAGTGAGCAAGAGTATGCAGGCATGGCTACATTTTGGGGATTCTTTGGGTATGTGTACGTACCTACAAAATAAATGACCTTTGCTGTTACAGTTGAACTGTCTTGTGCTCTTAATACACTTAACTAGTCCCACTGAGAAAACACTTGAGGAATTGCCTTGAACACTCTTTTCTACATCTCCCTGTTAATTCTTCCATCCCAACACTGCCTTGCGTTATTATCATGTTGCTGTACCAGAGAACAAGATATCAGTGAAGCCTCCAAAGGCCTTTGTTATTTTCTTGTCTGGAGAATAAAAGGGTGGATTGAAATACTGACATGAAATCTTACCTGTGGTTGCACTTTACTAAGATAATGGTACAAACGTTTTTCTGTTGAAATGCTTCACATTTGCTGGTGGCAAATGATTAAAGCTTTCTCTGGAGAGCCATTCACTCACTGGGTGTGCTGGTGGTTTGACAGTTCTGAGCATTCCTTTTACCATCATGGAAATGGCCAAAATTGGGGGTGGGCAGAGAGATTACATGTATTGCTTAATTTTGTTTGAAGAAATGTTTTCTTAGCTTAAATTTATCTTCTAGGACAAGAAATTGGATAAACAGTATGAGTCTTTGTCTTTGTTTCACCCCAGTGTAAGTATGCCCTGTACATGGAGAGATAACAGATCTTTGATGCCCTCTTACCCTTTTCTCATACTACTTATGTTGGAGTCAGTATTAGTGCATCTCTGTGCCCTTGCTTACAGTGCTACATGATTAAAGTGCATTCCATCCCCTCACCTCCTCCCATCTCTGTTGAAATTCTACTAAATCTTGCTTAAATGTTATCTCCTCCATAAAGTAAGGGGAGGTCTCATCATACCCTATCATAGAAGCATTAGTATAGTATAGAAGCATAATACTGTGGGGAAAGTACCAGATTTGGATTCAGAGGACCTTAAATACTTATGTGATTTTATACAATCTTATAATACTTAAGCAAGTCACCCTCTCTGGGCCTCAGTTTCCTTCATCTGTAAAATGAAGAGGGTTTGACTAAATGGATCAGGTCCCTTACACTTTGAAATCTTTAATTCTGGGAATTTTCCTGTAACTTGAATGACACAGCTTCAGATCCATCGCAGGGCACAAGCCAAAATGTTGATATGATTATCCTGAAGATAAACATTTAGCTCATATACTTAGATTTTCAGATGACCCAGCTCAATAGGGATTCCCCACAATGACTTTATTCTACCATGAGTTCTTTTTTTTCTCTCATGTTAAAATGTTGAATGGAAGTTTAAAGAGGAAAATTTTTCTTAAGAGACTCTACATTCTTCTTAGGTTGAATGAGAGCGAGGAAACATTTTAAAAATAAAACCTTTTTAAACCTATCCTTTCAGAATGTGGAAATGCTGAGTAGCATGGACTCAGCATCTGTTCGCATCATCAAACCATTTCCTGTGCCTCAACCCCCTGGTAGACTTCAGCCACTTCAGCCTGCTCCAGTGATGCCCTCAGTGGCTCCAAAGCTGGACCACCAAAGGATGGACACCATTCAGGAAGACCCGAGCACTGATTCAATCCTTGATGAAGACGCCTTTGAGAAGGATCCTTTCCCAAATAGCAGCTCAGCTGCAAAGTCTTTTGAGGATCTTACAGACCATCCTGTCACAAGGAGTGAAAAGGCATCCTCTTTTAAATTACAACGCCAAAGTCGTGTGGACAGCAAAGAAACAGAGTGCTAGTTTAGGGGTTTTGCTTCCAACTTTTTTGACTTGCCTGTACAAAATAATTTTTTATGGGTTTAATCTAAAATCATCACATCATTTTAAGGGGCTAGGTAGGAAATGGGACAAACAAGGAAGTGACTTAACAGCAGATGCTGGCCATGTGTTTGACCTTCCTTTACTGAGATAATCCTCCTGTCTTAGCCCTTTTTCCTTTCAAGGAGGTAAGCTTGTTTTGAAGCTTTTTGGTTTGATTTGATTTTTTTGAATCTTTAAACTGTACTTTAACCTGTGGTGCAAAAAGCAGAAATCTAGCTGGATCAGACTGTGTATGTTTGCTTTTTGTAATTTAACTTTTTATTCATAACAGCACTGATTAGAGAGGTGAGATTATTTTTTAAAAACAGACTATATGGTCCTTTGTATATTGGGAAACATGTAGAAGTTATTTGTCTTGAGAACTACATCATCATTTGTTTTCAAAAGAAGATGGAGCTGAACCAAAATCTCATTTTAAGTGATCTAAATGGGGGTCTCAGGTGTTACCAAGAGCCTTTGGCAGATAAGGAGGTCATAAAATCTTAGAAATAATTTCAATGGTATGGCCTTTAAAGTGGGACAAGAGATAATATAGGTTTACAGGAAGAGGGAACTTATAGATGTTTTTTAAAAACAACCTGTTTCTTTTATAGGAGTCTTCCAAATGTTTAGACCTCATCTGCTGGTTACTGTCTTCTTTGTGTTCTGCGATTCTTTGTGAATTCCTGTTGCCAAGAACTTTCTTAATAAGGCACGTATTTAAAGGAGTCTATACCATTGGGCAGGAATCCTGACACAGAAAGCAATAATCCAAATACAAAGTATGAAGAATTAACCAAAAGTAATTTAAAATGTGGTTATAAATCAGTCAACTTATCAAGCAGATAAAAGCAAAAGGCAGTCTTTCCTTTTGAGCTTTTTGATCTGTCACAGTTGTAACTGTAAAGTTTTTTTGATAGATTGGCAAATAGATGCTTGCATTACCTGCTGCTTTTGGAAGCATCCTAGGATTCTGAAGAATCGCCAGTTGTGACATGATTGTATATAAATCATGTACGGTTAATTTTGATTTACATAGAATTATGGAGTTAAAGCTGAGAAAGTGCTCACCAACCAAGATATTTTGATTCAGCTTATATTTATAAAATTAATGGGAATTAACCAAACCTGTGACAAAATGTGTTTTTTGAAGAATATATTTGTTACATGGATTCTTGTTACACTAATACTTGAAACTTGTGCCTTATGGTATTGTTATTGTTAACTATTCATCATTTAGTTATACTTTTGGAATTTGAACACTGGGGTGCGTGTATGTGTGTATGAAAGTGTGAGAGATCCATATAATTTCCAGAAAAATATAGTATAACCATTTTTTATAAAAATTTTATGACTTTTTTAAAAACAAAATTGTCCTTGCCTTTCCCCCATGTATAGAATTAACAAGATGCTCAGCATGGAATTTGTAGCTATGGATTTGGTACTACTTGCCTTAAATTGTTAATAAATATTTAATAACATTAAAACAGTGTTCCTAATTCCCAGTACCTTGGAATTTACATAAGAAGTTGCAAATGGTAATGGTAATAAATAAATTTGTCCAAGACTATAATAACCAAGCACTGGAATTCTAGAATGTCATTGGCACTTTAATGCTTTATAAATCAAATGCCAACTAATATTTTATGTAATTAATTAATGGTCGCCATCTCCTAGAAGAAGGTGTTCAAGAAGACTGTAATCAGCTTTCAGTGCAGCTATATCCCGCCAGTAAGGAAGGATGAAAGGCAGTGAGGCTGCTTTCTTCTCTAGCAAAGGCCAAAGATGTGATGATAGAAATTCATTTCCCTTTGGTGATAAATGTAGCCCGTCTGCTAGATATGAAGAGAAGTCCTATAATGAAGAGAAAGGGAAAAACAAAAGGTTTACAGTTGTCTGAAATTGAGCTATATAACATTTTGCTGTTGCTAACCTTTTAAAAGCTGCTGTTTACAATAGTGACCTGATCTACAAAGATTCAAATTCTGACAGTCAAAGACATTTTTTGTTCTAAAGAGAAAGGGCCTGTCATGGCCCTTATGCTACATTGTGCAGAAAACACTTAAAGCATTAGTTGGTTATTTATTAATTAGTTCTAGCATGCAGCCATGGGGAGAGGGCAAAATATGTCCAGTTTTTCTAACTATGTAAGACTCTTTGTTCCTCTCTCATCTTTTCCCAAATGCCACTCAATCATACTCCATTGGACCTGTGACCTTACCAGTGTAGGCACTGTATTTTACAACAAGTTTGCTACAAGGGGTCTACCCAATGTGCTGGGGACCTTGTCCTCTATACTGCCTAAATACCACTGGATCACCCTGGTTATGTCAGTTATTGAGCTCTCTTTTGCTATAATGTCTCTTTTTTACTCATACATTTCTTGGATGGTATATTTTAAACTTTATAAACCCTAATTTGCAATAGGTTGTGTTGCATTGCCCTTTGGGTGGTTTTCAACTTCATTTCTTTGAAGACTTTTGAAGTGTTCTGTGAATTTCAGCCATATAACATCACTGGAATGATAATGTTTAAAAAGATGGGCCTTTGTTTGGGGTTGTTAAAAGAGCTTTGCAATTCCCAAAGGCAAGCCAGCCCACCCTCCTCTTCCCATTATATCCTGGATTCACTTCACTGTCAATTTTCAATGTCTGTCCAATATAAATATTCAAATGTATTACTTCTATAAGTTGTCATCCTACCAAACAATACCTCTTTCAAATCTCTTGAAGTACTCGAAGACAGCTACTGCCCTCCCAGTGTCCTCCAAACTAAACATGGCAACACACACACAACCTTCAAACAGCTCTCATGGCAGTCACTGGTGCCCTTTTCACTATTCTGGTTGCGTTTTTCTGAAAGTCCTGTGGACTATCAATGTCCTTCCTAAAATGTGGCACCCCAAACTCAAGACAGTACTGCAGATGTGTCTACCTAAGGCAGAATCCAGAGTATCATTTCGCTATCCCTGGAAGCTGTGCCTCCCTAATGCTTGCCTTCTCGTAGTCTTTATGCTCTACTACACTGTTAATTCGTGTTGTGCTTGAAGACCTCTAAAGAACTCCAGTATTTTTTCAATTACATTGCTATATAAACATACTTTCCTTTGAATACTTGAGCTCCATTCCCATTCATATCTTTCCATAAGTTTGCCACAAAGGGCAGATCCAAGATTTGGGGAATTTTCCTTACATTCTATTCATATTACAAGGAAAATATTAGATCTCATATCTCATGTGGATCTCACTAACTGCCTATCCCATCTTTTTTACTCAGACATTTTTTTTAAATATAATTTTATTTATTTTTAATTTTCAATATTTACTTCCACAAGATTTTGAGTTCCAAATTTTCACTCCATCTCACCCCTCCCCCCCACCCCAAGATGGCATGCATTCTGAATATCCCTCCCCCTAGTCTGTCTTCTCTTCTATCTCTCCCCCCTTCTCTCATCCCCTTCCCCTTCTATTTTCCTATAGGGCAGGATAGACTTCTGTACCCCATTTCCTGTACTTCTTATTTCCCAGTAGCATGTGAAAACATTTTTTTAAACATGTTTTTAAAACTTTGGGTTTCAAATTTTCTCCCTCCCTTCCCACCCACCCTCATTGAAAAGGCAAGCAACTCAATATAGGTTGTACATGTGCAGTTATGCAAAACACTTCCACAGTACAGATGTTGTGAAAAACTAACTCTATTTCCCTTAATCCTATCCTGCCCTCCCATTTATTCTATTCTTTCTTTTGACCCTGTCTCTCCTCAGAAGTATTTGCTTCTGATTACCCCCTTTCCCAATCTGCCTTCTTCTCTATCATCCCCCTGCTCTCTTGTCCCCTTCTCCTATTTTCCTGCAGGGTAAGACAGATTTCCATACCCAATTGAATGTGTATGTTATTCCCTCCTTAAGCCAAATCCTATAAGAATAAGATTCACTCATTCCCTCTCATCTTCCCCCATTTCCCCTCCACTGTAAGAGCCTATTCTTTTCTTTTTTCTTTTTGTGAGATAATTTACCCCATTCTACCTCTCCCTTTCTTCTTCTCCTAGTATAATCCTCTCTCATCCCTTAATTTTATTCTCCAGATATGACCCCTTAATCTTCAACTCACCCTGTGCCTCCATATATACATGCATATAATTTTTTCTTTCCAACTACCCTAATACTGACAAAGGTCTCATGAGTTATAAATATCATGTTTTCATGCAGAAATGTAAACAGTTCAACCTTAATAAGTCTCTTATGATTTCTCTTTCCTGTTTACCTCTTCATGTTCCACTTGAGTCCTGTATTTGAAAGTCAAATTTTCTATTCAGCTCTGGTCTTTCATCAAGAATGCCTGAAAGTCCTCTATTTCACTGAATAACCATTTTTTTCCCCTGAAGGATTATACTCAGTTTTGCTGGGTAGGTGATTCTTGGTTGCAATCCTATCTCCCTTGCCCTCCAGAATATTATATTCCATGCCCTAGAGTCCTTTAATGCAGAAGCTGTTAAATCTTGTGTTATCCTGATTGTGTTTCCACAGTACTTGAATTGTTTCCTTCTGGCAGCTTGTAATATTTTCTCCTTGACCTGGGAACTCTGGAATTTGGCTATAATAGTCCTAGGAGTTTTCCTTTGGAGATCTCTTTCAGGAGGAGATCTGTGGATTCTTTCAATTTCTATTTTGCCCTCTGGTTCTACTATATCAGGGCAGTTTTCCTTGATAATTTCTTGAAAGATGATGTCTAGGATCTTTTTTTGGTCATGGCTTTCAGACAGTCCAATAATTTTTAAATTCTCCTGGATCTATTTTCCAGGTCAGTTGTTTTTCCAATGAGATATATTTCACATTGTTTTCTAATTTTTCATTCTTTTGGATTTGTTTTACAGTGTCTTGATTTCTCGTAAAGTCACTAGATTCCAATTGCTCTATTCTAATTTTTAAGGAAATGTTTTCTTCAGTAATCTTTTGGACTTCCTTTTCCATTTGGCCAATTTTTCTTTTTAGGGCATTTTTCTCCTCATTGGCTTTTTGGACCTCTTTTTCCATTTGGGTTAGGCTATTTTTTAAGATGTCATTTTCTTTAGTATTTTTTTGGGTCTCCTTTAGCAAGCTTGCATCACTCTCATTTCTCTTCCCAGTTTTTCCTCTACTTCCCTTACTTCTCAAAATCCCTTTTGAGCTCTTTCAAGGCCTCCTGGGACTGATTCATATTTTTCTTGGAGGCTTTGGATGTAGGAGCTTTGACTTTGTTGTCTTCTTCTGGTTATATATTTTGATCTTCTTTTTCACCAAAGCAAGATAATATAGTCTGACTCTTTTTGCGCTGCTTGCTCATGATCCCGGTCAATTACTTGAGTTTTAAGCTCTTTGTTAAGGTAAGAATCTGCTTCCAATGTGGAGAGTGTACTGTCCCAAGCTATAGGGTTTTATATAGCTGTTTTCAGAGATACTTGTAGGGACCTGTAAATTTCCAGTTCTTCCAAGGTGGTATGATAAGGGGTAAGGTGTTTACTCCTTTTCTGGCCTGTGACCACAAGTACTCCTTTCTGTCCTGTAACTGTGAGGAGGGGTTCCTCTGCACAGCCACTACAAGCTCCTCCATGCCAGCATTCCTCCTCACCCCAGCACCGCCGCCCAGAACTGTGACCCAGATGCAAACACGGGCAAAGCAAGAGATTCCTGCCTCAGCACTGGCAAAGAGATCCCTGCAATCCCTCTCTGATCAGCCACTGGATTCCCCCTCAGTCTGTGGGCCGGAAGCTCAGGAAGCAGCTGCCCCCCCCAAGGGCCATGCTCTTGGGGAATAGAGCTGAAACCCCGCCTTCCTCTCTGAGCACCGCAGAAAGAGACTTTTCCCACTGACCTTGTAAGACATCTTTGACATTAGTGGATTGAGGAGTCTGGAAACCTCCATAGCTGCCCGCGATTCAGTCCTCTGAGGCCTGCTCCAGGTTTGCTGTGGCCTGCGTGCCCATGCCGCGCTGCACTGCACTCCCAGCCTGGCATGATACACCTTTTTGATCAATCACCCAGGTTGTCTTGGGCTGGAAATTTGTTTCACTCTGTGTTTTTGTGGGTTCTGCTGCTTCAGAATTTGTTTAGAGCCATTTTTTATGAGTATTTGGAGGGGTTTGGAGGAGAGCTCAAGCAAGTCACTGCTTTCACTCCACCATCTTCATGAGTTGTTTCTTATAGCACAATCATATTCATTACATACATATCAAAACTTGTCCAGCTGTCCTCCAGCTAATAAATATCCCCTCAGTTTCCAGTTCTTTGCTGCCACAGAAAAAAGGTGCTATAAATTTTTTTGTACACATGGGTCTTTTTCTTTCTTTCATCTCTCTGGAGTATAGAGCTAGTAGTGATGGCATCATTGGCTCAAAGTATGCATAGTTTAGTAGCTTTGGGGGTAGTTCCTAATTGACTTCTAGAATGCTTGAATTCAGCTCTACCCACTGGGCATCAGTGTACCTGTTTTCCACAGCATTTGTCATTTTC